TTTTTTTTTTTTTAATTTATTAAAAAAAAGCCAAATAACTTAATATAACTGAAATAATGGTTTCGTGTGAGCTTCATCCTCACGTTACACCTCGTCGGAGTGTTTCAGCAGCAAATTTTTCATGAATTCATGAAACTTTCAGCATGCAACTCGACACTATTTACACGTACGTAATTGATACATTATGACAAGCTCGTCTGTCCCAAAAACACGTAAAAATTCACACTGCGTTCAAACTTAATAACTCTTCTTGTATGTAACTCACGCTTATAACCTTTAGAGAGAGCGCCAGGCCACTAGATCCTGATAAATTGATGAGCTCCAAGAGATATAATTGACCTGATTCTGCTCATTTTCAAAACGTCGTGTTACTTAATTGGACACAACACTTAATTAACAACACTTTTACAGATTTCAAGATGGTGCCTTTCGCCATCATAATCTCCACACTAATCATCCAGTTGGCGTGGGGCTACAACGAAGACTTTTATTCGGACAATTTTGACAGTTTTGAAGACCCCTCCGATGTTGAAGTGCAACGAAGAAACAGCAATTTTCTTCGATTTGGTCGAAGCGACGATTATGAAGACTATAATGAAGATTTTGCACGGCCTACGCGATCCGGAAAGCCGGAAAAGAACGATCATTTTATCCGATTTGGACGCAGTAAACCGGATTTTCTTCGATTTGGACGCAAGCCAACAACGAATTATCTGCGATTTGGACGTCGGAATAAACGCGATACGAGTTATTTTTTGAGGTTTGGACGAAATAGCAATTTTTTGAGGTTTGGAAAGAAGGCGAATGACGAGTCGCCGCTGGTTCAACTGTTGAGCAATCTCCTCAAAAAGGAAGAAGAGGAAAATAAGCAAAGAATTGTGGTGTAATGTCTTATTGTAATAGAAATAAATGTGGCTGGATTATGATTATTCGCATATGAAATATTTTGATGTTTATTATTTTTCACGTAAAAAATTACTTTTTTAATAAATTATAATTATTATCACCCAACTAAACTTGTGTAAATAAAATTATTTAAATCAATAAATAAATGAAAACGTTTTTCTCTTGTTTACAATACAAAAATACTAAAACGTCTGCAAATTAATAACACAAATAAGTAAATAAACGAATTATTTTCAGTATTCTATAATTATCTGTTTCATAAATACGTCCCATTTTAACGGCCATAAAAATAATTCCAAAAATTTTAAACCTTCAAATACAAGCAAACAAACTTTGAAGACCACATGACCACAAAATAACATTCGTTGTCATGGTTTCTTAAAAAAACATCGTTCGTTGTTATGGTTTCCGTTTCGTTGCTATAGTTTTCTAATGAAAATCAGGAAAATATCGTTTATTGCTATGGTAACAGTGTTTTGTAACGATTGTTTGTTTAATATGGTTGCTAGAGGAGCGAAATGGGGCAAAGTGTGCAATTTTCCACCTTTTTGGAAAAATATCACAAATTTTAACTTTGTTAATAAATAAACTCAAAGACCAAATTATAAATTTTTTGCTTTCTTTCAGCCAGTTTCTCGGTGAAAATCATTTAAAAATTTTTAAAATTGACAAAAATAACAATAACTTTGCAATTTTCTACATTGTGTTGGTAAAATATCACACGTTTTAACTTTTTTAATAGAAAACTTTGTTAATTCATATAAAATAACGCATTTTAGACCAAAATAAAAAAAAAATTTGGTAAAAAACACTCAATTTTTTAAAAGTGATAAAAATAACTCTTAGTTTGCAATTTTCCACATTAATTAAGTAAAATATTACAAGTTTAGGCTTTTTTCCATAAAAAGTTTTAGACCAAATTTTTGCTCTCTTTTGTCCAAACTTTTTTTAGTTTAATAAGTTTTTGGTAAAAAGCACTCTAGTTTATAAAAAATATACAAAAATGACTGTAACATTGCAATTTTTAACTTTTTTTTTTGGAAAAATATCACACAACTTAGCTTAACTTTTTTAATAAAAACTCGAAGAAAATAACGCATTTTGGATCAAATTTGTAATTTTCATGTTTTCTTTTTGCCAAATTTTTTTTAATTTAACAAGTTTCTTAGTGAAAAACATTTTAAATTTATAAAAATCGACAATCTTTACAAATTTAAACTGTTTTAATGAAAACTGAAAAACTGTTAGATTCATTTATAGATTTATAATTAAATTTATTAAGTTATAAATTTTTTGTTTCTTTTTTGG